AGCTCTACCGATAGACTAAGCTATCCAACATGAAAATCTTTGCCTGACTGACCGGAATTGATCCAGAGACCGGCGTTAGGGAGTAGCTCCATGGTAACGCCCTTTTTGCAAGGGGGTCTCTAGCATGAGCGTTATACCAAAATTTCGGTTAAGCTAATTATGCAACATGATCGTCTCTAGTAAATTTGCCTAACCTTCTGGACCAGAAGATCTCTAGGAAAAGCTCTAGTCGTCAGTATATCCAACGATGCCGAGGATTTCCTTTAGATGTGTCGTCCGCTGATAATAACAGTGCTCACCACCGACTCGGCTGGGTGGCACCGAGCCGATGATGCGTCACCACCATCAGACATCTCCCGATTTAGGGAAAAATACGCTTGGTCGCCGTCCATTGATGTGTCTACACGCGCAAGATCTGGCGCTTAATGCTACTCCCCGTGAGTGTCGCGATCGATCTGCTATAGCGCACGCAATATGATATCGATTAACCGAAAACACAATAGGTTGCACGCGTGGCCCGCGTGCCGCACGCGGGACATGTATGGAGGGTGTGCACGCGACCCTTCGGAGATATGCACGAGTCCGCGGTAACGATCTCTGAGCGTATGGGCCCCGGCAAGATCCTTACCAGTGGCAAGGCTGCTTTACCAAACTTCTGCTAATGACAGTGTCAGTACGACAGTGTCGTAACGACACGAGTTGTGTTACATGATCCTATTCAATTTACATTCAATGTAGTATGTTTCCCCCCATTTCTTGGACTAGAAGACTATTGGTAGAGTTCTCAGTTGTGAGCAAATTCAATAACGCAGGGGATCTCACATTGATGTGTCGTCCGGTGATAATAATAGAGATGGCCCGGCTGGAATCCATCCGCTGGATGACATGCGCCCTCGGTCAGCTTTCCGCGGCGATCATAGATTCACACTCATCAAAGGCGGAACCAAGTCAGGCTACCGAGTCCTGATACTCCCGGGAGGCTCTACCGGGGTTCGGAGATCATTCAGAGCTTTTCGGAAGCTCAACTCCCAGAGGATTCATAGGATGATCCTATTAGGATCGTATACCGTTTCAGGAGCAACGTACAGTAAGCAGCACAACAGCAGCATCGCACTGGTCGAAACTAGCGAGATGTATGAATTAGGTAAGTGCCGCATACTGAGCGGTAATGTCATGCAATCGACCCATCGAATGGTATTATTTAACCACAAACTAGCTATGGATTCAGCAACATCTAGAAGACTCCTAGAGAGCACGGAAAGTTCTAAGGCGAGGACTCTGAGCTGGAGCATAGTTCATCTCTTCGTCTCTTCCTCGAACCTCCACTAGTAGGCCTACATCTCGGACAGTACCATGGCTTCCTGGGATTGGCTAGGTCGGGTAACGGGTATCCAGTTGCCATACACCAAGCTTCAGCGCAGTCAATGTGCCACCACCTAGTAGAGATGCATTTCTTTGATGAGCAATATACGGCGGGTGAGTCAAAATAGCCCCCACAGCATGCTGACAGATCTCTCCTCTTAACTGAGGGTAGTTCAGAGGATGGAGGGATGGAGTGCGGAGGCCATTCGAAACAGTCAAGCCCCCTGACTCTAATGCTGGACTGACTGGCTCGGAGAGCCTGCGCTTGGCCCTGGCGTGCTCCTCCATAGCGGGTAGTTTCATTCAACCTCAAGCCGGGACCGGCCACACCTTTGCTGAGCTTCCTCTGCAGTTTCGCTTCAGCTCTTTGCCAGGCCACTTGGTCATCGACTCCAAAGTGACGTCCCAGAGCTACCACATGGGAGCACTTACTTCTCGCTGCATAAGCTTCGCAAGTGCATCTTGGACCCCCATCCCGAGGAAGCCGAGTGACATCAGAAGTAGTAGTAAAAGTAACAAGCGATATCTTGTCCATTATCCTCTTCGCAGTCTGGAAGTCCTCGTACCTCTGCGTTACTCTCAGACATAGCATCTTGTCAGCCACTCCAATCCGTCTGGGATCCGAATTGTGCATTGGCTTGTCGCCTCGGAATACGTACACATGCTCCCCGACACCAAAGTAATGAGATGCCTTCCGACAGATGTCTTTGCAACAAGAGGCTCGATGACAGGGACCATTCACTGATGAAGGGAGAGCCCTAGGAAGGGGCAAGAACGATAGAGTGTCTAGAGCTGACACCCTATCTGACTGTTGAATGATCCTCCCGTCGACTCGATGCTTATTATATGCCGAGATGGCCTTCCATTCATCTCCTGCTAGAGCGTAAGCAAACTGTAATAAGGTTCGCATCCTTCGAGAGCGAAGAAGGGTCTTCTTGAGGAATCTGTGGAATACCTCAATGCCGTTACTCGTTCTCCCGCCCACGCCATCATTGTGACAAGCAGCCCACCGGGAGCGGAAGCTACCGGTATCGAACCACTCTCCACTCGCCATAGAGTTGAGAAAATCAACCGCTTTAGCCTCGCCTCTCTCGTTCCATTTACCGAACAGAAGCTCGATGAGAGAGGTGAACTCTGACTGACTTGAGGCTTTAGCTACTGCCCTCAGGTCGCTTTTCAACTCACTCCATAGCCCTGCTCTCATTCCAGCTGGTTTCTTCCTTTTGGCGGCTTGCATGAAATGGAAGAAACAACAGCTCATAGATGCCTGTTCGAAGGTCGCAGACAGAGCACCGTGGAGAGCTTTGGAGCCGTCTTGAATAATGCGGGTGATCCGAGGTAATTCGCGCACACCCACATCCCTGATGAGTTCGTGGAATGATCTCAGGACATCTTCGATGCTGCGTCTATTTTCACTCCTAACCAGCCCCACTAGAATCGGTCTAGCAGCTCCAGCAGCATTCATTGAGGTCATAGTGAAAACCGAGCATTCCGCAGCAATCAAATTAAAGGTAACATCAGCAGCAATCTCGTCACTATTCAGGTAATTATGTAGCATCCGTGGGGACGTGAACCCTATCGCCATCTCTAGAAGATTCCCGTCTTCGCCAATTTTCAAAGTGGGACTCGGAGTCATCAAGCATGTATTAGATTTATCGCGTAGATGCTCGTCCATCCCAGTGGCATCTTCCAAACCAGTTCGCTTTATGGCATCGATGATGTCTAATACCTGTCACGAGCCGAGCTGGAAGTGGATAGTATCCACTGGAGATAAGTCTTGCTGCCCCTTGTTCAGTATCCACTGGATACTGAATAAGGGGCAGTAAGACTTGCAGGTTTGATGTTTCAAAATTGAAGTTTTTAGAGTTTTTGAGTTGAAGTTCTGCATTCTGCATATCCAAAAGGAAGTAATGTCTCACATACTACTTTCTACTAGTAATAGTTTCGTGTAGGTTGGTGTTTGGTTATAGTCTGATTTGTTATGAGTTTTGACAATCAGTGACTGTCAGTCACGACTGAACAGTGATATAGACCATTCGAGCCGTACGCCTTGTGGGAAGCCTCTAATCGATACTTACGTTGAGATCTCCAAGATCCTTGTCGATGTCACGTTGTACCTTTTCTAGGAAGGGCTCAAGTTTTAGTCCATATAGTCGACGGCGAGTAATTGATGTGACAATATTGCGAATATTACCTGAGGGAGTCGAAAGTGAGGCAAAGGCAGCTAGTGAGGCTCACTAAGTGAGCGAACTCTGATCCTAGCCACTGGCTACTAGCCAGATCTACCTTTGACATCTGGGTAGCCTGGCTGATCTTCTTTCAGATCTAACCATGCCCTTTCTCGACTGCCAAGAAGTCCCCGGTCGCGTTGAGCATTCCATAGCTCTTTGATGTCGCCAGCTGTGAGCGTTGGGTCTTTACTTATTGCTCTCGCCGCTAGATCGACCAAAGGAGGTGGAACGGTCACAGACCTGAAGCCACCAAGCAAGATTTTGATCCTAACTCCCAGAGTGGTTTTCACCTGCATATGTGACTATCGTACGGATGGTCATGTGCTTTCCAGGCAGCTATAGACGAGTTAGCTGAGCATACGCCGTAGAAGCTGCAAAGCAAATCCCCCGGGGGGCCACTCTCTACCACCAAAATACATGACAGCTGGCAGGCATCCCTCGGCCATAATCTCCATGAGGGCTTAGCATTGTTGCTCGTAGCTGGCTCACCCAGTGGAAGGCGCCGAAGACAACGTAGTTCACGCCTCTTGCGGTTCTCGTGAACGCTCTTGACTTGAGCCAGAAATGGCCTGCCTGCCAAGTACTCCCTTATCACTTCCTCAATAGGTCCATTGACTGCATGGAATGCCTCTTTCATCCACTTGCCCCCTGGACCCTCAGGGGCTCTGCGGTGTTGAGTGCTCGTGCGAGTAGCATGTGTACTCATTATAGAAGAGGTGTCACTACTAGACTCAATGTCATCGTTCTCTGTATCAGAACCTTCGAAGCTGCTGCCTTCGGAAATGCTGCTGTCCGATTTATCTTCATTGGACGATGTGGATAGGGCGGATCTGTCCTCGTTGTCCGGTTGCACAGCCGCAGCACCTGAAAAATCCCATGCTGAACTCAGAGAAGGAATTCAATACTGTCAGGCTCCTCATGTAAGTTGAGTTCGTCGATTCTCTGGTCTCTCGTATCATCAGGCAGTTGACCGTCATCACTCCCACTTGCCGTGTTCCGTGCTTCGCAATCCTGAGGGCCTCGATCATGCTCGACCGTCTCGGCCCCATCGGAACTTCGAATATCATCGGCCATGGCCCTCGCCTTCATCCTATCAATAGATGGGATTGAATCTATAGGGTCCTTCATCATGAGCTCATGAAACGAGAGGAGGTTAGTTTGCGACATCCGAAAAAATGATTCGTTGTGACAGGTCATTATGTCGGCGCTGTTGGAGCCGGTCTGGGGTATAGAGCGGGTTGCTGTCGAGCCGAGCAGTCCAGTTCGCGAGAGATTCACCAGTATGTTAGTGACCATGCCTCCGAGAGATTCGATAAGCCGGTCTTCTCTCTCTTTCAAGATATTCGACAATTCTTCAGGAGTGATCGCATGATGGATGTTCGCACTGTCCAAACCGTCAAGGCCTCCGTCGAGCCCTGAATCCACTGTTGCGGACATGTCCTCGTCGGCATCACTCTGCACTACAGGACGGTGGTATGAAGGCATATTAGATAACGCAGGTCGCGCCAGAACATTTGACTGCTTGCAGAGAGCCTCGAAGGCCAGTGCTGACGTAGAAAAGACAACCTTTTTGTGGAAGACAACATCCCCCACAAACTTCGTGAATATGCGGCTCGACGAACCCACTCTCGACAGCATAGTATAGAGGGCTCCATGGAGCCACTGCTGATGTAGTAGTCTCTCAATCTCAGCGTGAGCTGCTTTGGGTGCACTTGGACCTCCATAAGGCGACAAGTCTATGACGGCATAGTCGAGGGTGCATCCTTGCAGCTTATGGCAAGTAATAGCTGCGCCAAGCTCGAGAGGGACATTCCTCAACGCATATAGGAGTTCGCCTTCGGATGAGAACACTTCTTGAGTGACAGGATAAACGTCCACCTCTTCGCCGTTTCTATCCAGGCTAACCCTCACCCCAACATTATGCCACAACTCGTTCTGCTTGAGCTTAATCCAAACCTCACTCTGCCCTCTTGTAAGACCGACGAAGCCAGAAACTCTGCCCATATCCCCGTTGAGGATGTACGGCTCAACATTTGTATTGCAGATAACCCGGCAGCCGACCTTCAGTCCGATGCTCTTCTTTATGGTAAGCCTGTGAAGATCTTCATCACCAGTGGTATCGTCAAATACATCTGCGTGAAATGTGATCATCTCGCCCGGGGTGTTCATCAAATGGTCATCATTGATAGCCCGGCAGTTATCCCGGAAGAGCGTAACGGCACACCATGAAGATTCATGCGGACCCTCTTTATCGACAAGGTGATGGACTAGCTTCTGGGACCGGTTGGATAAATTCCAGTTAGAATCTGGTCTCCAGCTCCTCATTTCGGCCAGTAGGTTCAAATAGTCTTCGTCTACACCGCTACCATTAAAAAGCGGCTTTCGCTTTCCTCGTCTCCCTGGCCTCCTAGTCGTGGAGCCTCCTCGGATGCCTCGATGGAACCGAGAAAGATAGTAAACTTGTAAGTTCATGTCCCTCCATAGTAAGCTTTCCCACACAGGCCGTACCGTAAGCTCTGCGAATTCTCCGTGTTTTGCAGGTTCCGGCCCTCGGAGCTGTAGACAGTCCCCCCCAAATATGGTACAACATCCACCGAACATCTCGTCTTGGGCCCGGATGAACCGTAGAGTTTTGTCCACAGCCTCAATCACGGTGTTATGGAGCATGGAGATTTCATCAAAGACAATGACGCTGTCTCCGCGAAATGTGTTCAACTGGCCAGCACCACGTACACCCTCAATCATCTTCTTCGAAAGGGTTTCTGGACAGCGGAAGTAAGAGTTATCGAAAGCCTTGCCGTGCTGCTTATCGAATGTTAGGTGGAAATGGGCCATTAAGGTCTGCCCTTTCACCAATGAGGCTGACATAGCGGTGGTGGTAACAACGTGCACATAGAAGTCGTTCGCCTCTAGTTCTCCCACTAGTTGGCGTAGGAGGTGGGTTTTCCCGGCGCCGGCTATCCCGCATACCAAGTGAGATCCTGGATTCTCACGAGAGAGTATGTGTGAAATTATGCGCTCGAAAGCGCGCTGCTGCTCCTGATCCATTTGATGAGGACGTGGAGTTGAAAGGCGAGACTTAGACTAAGTCACTCAGTGAGAGAGGACTGCAAACCGCTTAGGATCGTATTGACTCTTAACACGACAGTCGATTATCTGTCAAGCTCAAAAACCAGACTATATATCAGGTGAGCAGTCGCATCGGTACACCTGTACGATAAGTCACTTGTTGATAGGCATAACGTTTTTTAGTTATTCGTCGTTCGTGATAGTGAGTCACTAATAGCGACTTACTATTGCAAACGATTGCAGCGGCACTAACACCAACAACAGCCAGAAGCTAGGAGCCAGACGCCACAACACCCTGTGCTGTCACTATCATCATCAAAAACAACCACTGTTGATGACTGTCCAAAAGTGAGTTACCACAACCAAAACGAGTAGCCCCGTGATGCTGTACTGGCGGTGTTTCCACAAACAAGTTGCCGCTCAGAGAAGTGCTGTTGCTGTTGCTGTTGTTTTTGCTGTTGCTGCTGCTGTTGTCATGGTTGTTATGGTTGTTATGGTTGTTGTTGTTGCTGTTGTTGCTGTTGTTGTTGTTGCTGCTGTTGCTGTTGCTGTTGTTGTTATTCTTGCTGCTGTTGTTGTTATGGTTATTACGGTTGTTATGGTTGTTGTCGCTGTTGTTGTTGTTATGGTTGCTTTTGTTGCTGCTGCTGCTGTTGTTGTTGTCGTTATTGTTGCTGTTGTTGTTGTTATGTTTGTTACGGTTGTTGTCGCCGTTGTTGTTATTGTTACTTTTGTTGTTACAATAGATCGTGAGTCACGATTCGTGACACTCGGCGGAGTTCTCGGAGGGCGTGAGA